CTAGGGGTACCATCACATTTTTTAGCCATTTTATAAATTTATCAAAAAATTTGCCAAATTTGACATGGTTATTTCTACTTGCATATAAAATCTTTTGTAAAAGTTTCATGTCAAAAAGACTTGTCAATAACGTATAAGTTATAATTTTTTTAGTTTTTTCCTCGAGTTTTAGGGGTAACATCACAATTTTTTGTCTGATTTTTAACTCATCAAAAAATTTGCCAAATTTGACATGGATATTTATTTTTGCATGTAAAATCCTTTGTAAAAGTGTAATGTCAAAAAGACTTGTCAGTAATGTCTAAATTATAATTTTTTTAGTTTTGGCCTCGAGTTCTAGGGATATCATTACATTTTTTGGCCAAATTTTAAAATCATCAAAAAGTGTGCCAAATTTGAAATGGATATTTATATTTGCATCTAAAATCCCTTGTAAAAGTTTCATGTCAAAAAGACTTGTCAAAAATGTATAAATTATAATTTTTTAGTTTTTTTGACTCAAGCTTTAATGGTAACATCAAAATTTTTGGCCAAATATTATATTCATCAAAAAATTTGCCAAATTTGACATCGATATTTATATTTGTATGTTAAATCCTTTGTAAAAGTTTCATGTCAAAAAGACTTGTCAGTAATGTCTAAATTATAATTTTTTTTAGTTTGGCCTCAAGTTATCGGGGTACCATCACATTTTTTAGCCAAATTTTAAATTTATCAAAAAAGTTTTCCAAATTTGACATGGATATTTCAATTTGCTTATAAAATCCTTTGTAAAAGTTTCATGTCAAAAAGACTTGTTAGAAATGTATAAATTATAATTTTTTTAGTTTTTTTGCCTCAAGCTCTAGGGGTAACATCAAAAATTTTGGCCAAATATTATATTCATCAAACAATTTGCCAAATTTGACATGGATATTTATATTTGTATGTAAAATCCTTTGTAAAAGTTTCATGTCAAAAAGACTTGTCAGTAATCTCTAAATTATAAGTTTTTTTAGTTTTGGCATCGAGCTCTAGGGGTACCATCACATTTTTTAGCCATTTTATAAATTCATCAAAAAATTTGCCAAATTTGACATGGATATTTATATTTGCATTTAAAATCCATTGTAAAAGTTTCATGTCAGAAAGACTTGTCAGAAATGTATAAATTATAATTTTTTTAGTTTTAGACTCGAGCTCTAGGGGTACCATCACATTTTTTTGCCAAATTTTAAATTCATCAAAAAATTATCCAAATTTGACATGGATATTTATATTTGCATGTAAAATACTTTGTAAAAGTTTCATGTAAAAAAGAATTGTCAGTAATGTCTAAATTATAATTTTTTTAAATTTGGCCTCGAGCTCAAGGGTACCATCACATTTTTTAGCCAAATTTTAAATTCATCAAAAAAATTGCCACATTTGACATGGATATTTCTATTTGCATATAAAATCCTTTGTAAAAGTTTAATGTCAAAGAGACTTGTCTTTAATGTATAAATTATAATTTTTTTAGTTTTTTTGCCTCAAGCTCTAGGGGTAACATCAAAATTTTTGGACAAATATTATATTTATCATAATATTTGCCAAATTTGACATGGATATTTATATTTGCATGTAAAATCTCTTATAAAAGTTTTAATGTCAAAAAGACTTGTCAGTAATGTCTAAATCATAATTTCTTTAGTTTTTTACTCGAGCTCTTGGGGTAACATCATAATTTTTGGCTAGATTTTAAACTCATAAAAAAATTTTCCAAATTTGACATGGATATTTATATTTGCATTTAAAATCCTTTGTAAATTTTTCATGTCAAAAAGACTTGTCAGTAATGTCTAAATAATAATTTTTTTAGTTTGGCCTCGAACTCTAGTGATACCATCATATTTTTTAGCCAAATTCTAAATTCATCAAAAAACTTGCCAAATTTGACATGGATATTTATTTTTGCATGTAAAATCCTTTGTAAAAGTTTCATGTCAAAAAGACTTGTCAGTAATGTCTAAATTATAATTTTTTTAGTTTTAGCCTCGAGCTTTAGGGGTACCATCACATTTTTTGGCCAAATTTTAAATTCATCAAAAAATTATCCAAATTTAACATAGATATTTATATTTGCATGTAAAATCCTTTATAAAAGTTTTATGTCAAAATACTTGTTAGTAATGTCTAAATTATAATTTTTTAAATTTTGTCCTCGAGCTCTAGGGGTACCATCACATTTTTTAGCCATTTTATAAATTTATCAAAAAATTTGCCAAATTTGAAATGGATGAACTACTTGCATATAAAATCCTTTGTAAAAGTTTCATGTCAAAAAGACTTGTCAATAATGTATAAGTTAAAATTTTTTTAGTTTTTTCCTCGAGCTCTAGGGGTAGCATCACATTTTTTGGCCAAATTTTAAATTTATCAAAAAATTATCCAAATTTGACATGGATATTTATATTTGCATGTCAAATCCTTTGTAAAAGTTTCATGTCAAAAAGACTTGTCACTAATGTCTATATAATAATTTTTTTAGTTTGGCCTCGAGCTCTTGGGTACAATCACATTTTTTGGCCAAATTTTAAATTCATCAAAAAATTTGCCAAATTTTCCATGAATATTTTTATTTGCATGTAAAATTCTTCCTAAAAGTTTCATGTGAAAAGTACATGTGAATAATGTCTAAATTATACTGAGTAATTTTTTAGTTTTGGCCTCAACTTGTAGGGGTACCATCGCAATTTTTTAGCCAAATTTTAAATTCATCAAAAAATTTGCCAAATTTGACATGGATATTTCTATTTGCATGTAAAATCCTTTTTAAAAGTTTCATGTCAAAAAGACTTGTCAATAATGTATAAATTATAATTTTTTTGGTTTTTGCCTCGAGCTCTCTAGGGGTAACATCACAATTTTTGGCCAAATATTAAATTCATCAAAAAATTTGCCAAATTTGACATTGATATTTATATTGCATGTAAAATCCATTGTAAAATTTTCATGTCAAAAAGACTTGTCAGTAATGTCTAAGTAATAATTTTTTTAGTTTTGGCTTCGAGCTCTATGAGTACCATCACATTTTTTGGCCAAATTTTAAAATCATCAAAAAAATGCCAAATTTGACATGGATATTTATATTTGCATCTAAAACCATTTGGAAAATTTTCATGTAAAAAAGACTTGTCAGTAATGTCTAAATTATAATTTTTTTAGTTTTGGCCTCGAGTTCTTGGAGTACCATCACATTTTTTGGCCAAATTTTAAATTTATCAAAAAATTATCCAAATTTTACATGGATATTTATATTTGTATGTAAAAGTTTCATGACAAAAAGACTTGTCGGTAACATCTAAATCATAATTTTTTTTAGTTTTAGACTCGAGCTCTAGGGGTACCATCACATTTTTTGGCCAAATTTTAAATTCATTAAAAAATTATCCAAATTTGACATGGGTTTTTGTATTTGCATGTAAAATCCTTTGTAAAAGTTTTATGTCAAAAAGATTATAAATTATAATATTTTTAGTTTTGGCCTCGAGCTCTAGGGTTACCATCACATTTTTAGCCAAATTTTAAATTCATCGAAAAATTTGCCAAATTTGACATGGATATTTATATTTGGATGTAAAATCCTTTGTAAAAGTTTCATGTCAAAAAGACTTGTCAGAAATGTATAAATTATAATTTTTTTAGTTTTAGCCTAGAGCTCCATCGGTACCATCTCAATTTTGGCCAAATATTATATTCATCAAAAAATTTGCCAAATTTGACATGGATATTTATATTTGCATGTAAAATCCTTTGTAGAAGTTTCATGTCAAAAAGATTATAAATTATAATATTTTTAGTTTTGGCCTCGAGCTCTAGGGTTACCATCACATTTTTTGGCCAAATTTTAAATTCATCAAAAAATTATCAAAATTTAATATGGATATTTATATTTGCATTTAAAATCCTTTGTCAAAGTTTCATTTTAAAAAGACTTGTCAGTAATGTCTAAATTATAATTTTTTTAATTTTGGCCTCGAGTTCTAGGGGTACCATCACATTTTTTAGCCAAATTTTAAATTCATCAAAAATTTTTGCATATAAAATCCTTTGTAAAAGTTTCATGTCAAAAAGACTTGTCTATAATGTATAAATAATTATTTTTTTAGTTTTTGTCTCGAGCTCTAGGGGTTACATCACAATTTTTGGCCAAATTTTAAATTCATCAAAAAATTTGCCAAATTTGACATGGATATTTATATTTCTATATAAAATCCTTTGTAAAAGTTTCATGTTAAAAAGACTTGTCAGTAATGTCTAAATTATAATTTTTTTAATTTTGGCCTCCAGCTCTAAGGGTACCATCACATTTTTTAGCTAAATTTTAAATTAATCAAAAAATTTGCCAAATTTGACATGGATATTTATATTTGCATGTAAAATCCTTTTTAGAAGTTTCATGTAAAAAAACTTGTTAGTAATGTCTAAATTATAATTTTTTTAATTTTGGCCTCAAGCTCTAGGGTACAATCACATTTTTTAGCCAAATTTTAAATTCATCAAAAAATTTGCCAAATTTTCCATGGATATTTCTATTTGCATGTAAAATTCTTCCTAAAAGTTTCATGTGAAAAGTACATGTCAATAATGTCTAAATTATATTTTTGTTAGTTTTGGCTTCGAGCTCTAGGGGTACCATCACATTTTATGGCCAAGTTTTTAAATCATCAAAAGAGTTGTGAAATTTGACATTGATATTTCTATTTATATGTGAAATACTTTGTAAAAGTTTCATGTCAAAAGTACTTGTTAATAATGTCTAAATTATAATTTTTTTAGTTTTGATCTCGAGCTTTACGGGTACTATTACATGTCAAATCCTTTTTAACATGTCAAATACTTTGTAAAAGTTTCATGTCAAAAGTACTTGTTAATATAATTTTTTTAGTTTTATATGTAAAATCCTTTGTAAAAGTTTCATGTCAAAAAGACTTGTGAGTAATGTATAAATTATAATTTTTTTTAGTTTTAGCCTCGAGCTCTAGGGGTACTATCATATTTTTTGGCCAAATTTTAAATTCATAAAAAAATTTTCCAAATTTGACATGAATATTTATATTTGCATGTAAAATCCTTTGTAGAAGTTTCATGTCAAAAACTCTTGTCAATAAGGTCTAAATTATATTTTTTTAGTTTTGATCTCGAGCTTTAGGGGTACAATCACATTTTTTGGCCAAATTTTTATTTTTTCAAAAAGTTACAAAATTTGACATGGATATCAATTTAAAAAACTTTTTGTCAATTTAAATAACTTTTTGTAATATACTACATGGGTTTCTAAATCTCATTCCTGTTTTAACTTTTTTGAGTCAAAGATTGACACTTTTAACCACAAATTATATAGAAAATTTTAATTAATTACTAGATCAATTTAATATAATTAGATTTATGTTAACACATAGTTTTTGTATACTTTTAGACACAAAATGAATAACCCAATTTACTCCATACTCTTGAATGGAGTACTCCGTATATAAATAGAAGTATTGTTTAGGGTTTGAGCGCAGCCTCAACTACTTATCTTCATCGACTCATCCTCTATCAGCCACACACTGCCACTGACCGCGATCCATCCCTCCAACCGCCACTGGCGGCGGCCCCACAACCTCCGTCTCCGCCAACCTGCGGGAGACCCCACGACCTCCGTCTTTGCCAAATTGCCGGCGACAACATCAAGCTGCATCTGTGGGCAGCCCAGCAACGCCCAGCAAGAACGAAAGTGGAGGGTGGTATGGTCTCCGGGCGTCCCACTGGTTTCCTTCTTTTCCGGACGGCCCACGATGACCGGCGGAAACTCCGGTTGTCGGTACATCTCAGCAGTGGCGGCCCGTGCAGAAACTACGGCAGTTGCCTTCGCCATTGTAGCCTAAATCCGATCACATTATGATCATCATAAAATTGTCAGTTTAATTGAGGTGAGTATGTTGCTCTTCATATATTTGCTCTTGTTTTGATTTGATATTCTAAAGATGTTAGATTTGTATGCTATTTAACTAATGTCGATTTATTCTTTTTTATACCGAGCATTCGTTAAGATTTATGTTTCAGATATGCTTTTTATGTTTTTTTATGCAACCTTAAGACAAGATGGTAGATCTGTGGTTTTAGGTAAATGATTATTAACATTTAGTTCTAAACAAATTTTACCCACATATCTTTTACTTTTCAATAATTTTCTTTAGGCCTCATTCATACATAATTCAAATTATAGAAATTGGAATTAGAGACAACAATTCTAATTTTGCTATTTGGTAGCACAAAAATACGTCATATGAGGATTTGAAATTAGTAGTACCAAAAACAAATTAGAATATGAGAATTCAATTCTATCCAAAATAATTTTATAAAATTTCAATTTTCAATTCAATTCCAATTTTATCAATTACGTGTACCAAACGGATCCCTAAGCTTTGTGAAAATAAGCTATTACTCATTTAATTTTAAGATGGAGGGAGTATATGTATGTTATATAAAAATATATTACTCCGTATTATAAAAGGCAATGAATATGTATTATTTAATTTTAGTGAATATGTCATTACACCCTCACTTTTTTTATCTATACAATTCACTTTATCCCATCACATCAAGAGCAATGAATGGAAAGTCTTTATGTAGTATTTTCTAACTTGCTTAATATCCGTGCCAAGTCAAAGTGTCAAACTAGGAAAGAAATTTTTGAGCAGAGAGTAATTAAATTTTTTTACAAGTAACAAGTAAAATTACTATATTATTTTATCAAATGAATAATGAGAATATATAAAGAGAGTAAATAAGATTTGACTTTATGAATAATGAACAAGCAATTCAATTTGATTCAAAGTGAGTAATATACAACCATACTTTAATAATTTTCTTGAGGTATCCTCATTAAGAATCATAGAGGTGTTTGTGGTACGGCGTACTTGTTTAAATGATACTTCCTTCGTCCTTGAAATATCTTTCCTTATTGATTTTTTGAAGATTTAAAGGAGGAATATTTTTGTGTTACTTTTCAAAAGTACTTTTGGTCTGTTGGGTAAAAGTAAGATGTGATGTTAAGTTTTTAGTAAAAAAGATATGATGTGATAGTTAGAGTATGCAAAAGTAAGGAGTAAAAATAGTTTTTTTATAGATAAGTGAACATATTTTGGGGACAACAAAAAAAATAAAAGGAGAAGTTTTTTTAAGAACGGAGAGAGTAGATCATTTAGCCATATGTCAAATTTTTAAAGAAAATAATCAAAAATCAATATTTCTATAGTGATTTTTTATGGATATATTTTGTATTTTTACTCTAATTGACCATTTGCAGCTAACATATTTTTATGGAGTTAGATTTGATTTTTCTACTCGGATACGGAGTAGGCATTTATAATTTTGTGCACATGATTTAATCTAAATTCCTTAATTTGATTTCTAGATATTGAAGTGAATGCAAAGTCTTGTCAATGTTCACTTTAATAAATAAAAATGGCTAGCACAAGTTTAACGTAAGACTTCGGAGCATGTTTGTGTGGATGCATAAGAAGCTTTATGCATTTGGTGCTATGCTACTCTCCTCAACGCCTTCGTTGTCACTTTGCCAATAGAAATATTTGTTTCAAGGTATTCTTCCGTACTATAACTTTTAACTCACCTAAGTTCTTTGGTGATAATGATGTTTGGTCTCAATTTTAATTTTTGTTGTGTAATCCAAGTCTTGTTTCCTAACTATGGTACCAAAGCTCGCTTACAAAATTACTAGTGAAATAAATTATTCTTTTGCCCCGTCGCTTGCTTAACATAATCCCCAATTAGCATTTCTCCCCCTCCAAAGTGCATACCCAAATTGCCAAAGTTAATAATATGGATGTTTCAATTTGCATGTAAAATCTTTTGTAAAAGTTTCATGTAAAATACTCGTCAATAAAGTCTAAATTATAATTTTTTTAGTTTTAGCCTCGTTCTCTAGGGGTAAAAATCACATTTTTTGGCCAAATTTTAAATTCTTTAAAAAAGTTTCCAAATTTGACATGAATGTTTCTGTTTGCATGTAAAATTCTTTCTAAATGTTTCATGTCAAAAGTATTTGTCAATAATGTCTAAATTATAATTTTTTTAATTTTGGTTTCGAGGTTTAGGGGTTTGGCCAAATTTGAAATTCATCATAAAAGTTGTGAAATTTGACATGAATGTTTTTATTTGCATGTAAAACCCTTTGTAAAAATTTCATGTCAAGAGTACTTGTCAATAAAGTCTAAATTATAAATTTTTTAGTTTTGAACTCGAGCTTTAGGGATACTATCACATTCTTTGTACAAATTTTAAATTAATCAAAAAAGTTGCAAAATTTAATATGCATGTTTCTATTTGCATGTAAAATCGTTTGTAAAAGTTTCATGTAAAAAATTCTTGTCAATAAGGTCTAAATTAGAGTTTTTTTAGTTTTGGTCTCGAGCTCTAGGGGTACAATTACATTTTTTAGCCAAATTTTGAATTTATCAAAAAGTTGCCAAACTTGACATGGATGTTTCTAATTTCCTCTAAAATTCTTTGTAAAATTTTCATGCCAAAAATACTTGTCAATAATGTCTAAATTGTTACTTCCTCCGTTCCTTAAGCAGTTAAGCCCTTCTCTTTTTTAGTTTTGGTCTCAAGCTGTAAGAGTACCATCACCTTTTTTTGGTCAAATTTTAAATTCATCAAAAAAATTGCAAAATTTGACATGTATGTTTAAATTTGCATGTAAAATCCTCTTTAAAAGTTTCATGTAAATTTTTTTGTCAATCAGGTCTATAATACTACCTCCGTCCCAGAGTGTTTGTCCACTTTCATTTTTACACACCATCCAATACAATTCTTTAATCCATTTTATTTTGTAATTTGTAAATTAAAAAATTATAGAAATTATATATTAATAATCTATATGTTAAGACAAATTAAACAAGATCACACATGACTATATTTAGGATTACAGATTAAGAGAATTTGATGAGTCAAAGTGTTTAAATGAACAGTTCCAAAAATCAAAACTGGACGAAAACTCCGGGATGGAAGGAGTATAATTTTTTTAGATTCGTCCTTGAGCTCTAGGGTACGATCACATTTTTTGGCCAAACTTTGAATTCATCAAAAAAGTTGTCAAATTTGACATGGATGTTTTTATTTTCATGTCAAAAATACTTTTCTATAATATCTAAATTATTACTCCCGTCGTTCCTTAAAAACTTACCCTTTTATTTTTTTTCACATTCCCTAAAACACTTTTATTTTCTATTAAAAAATCACTTTTTACCCATAATTTTTTCATTTCGTACCTATCAAATCATACTATTTCACTACTAACTAAACCATTACATCAGAAACAAAATTAGAAAAGTGACTAAAATTGCACTTTCTTTAATTAGGCTAAAAATAAAAATAGTAACCTTTTAAGGGAACAGAGGAAGTATTATTTTAATTTTGGCCTCAAGCAGCAAAATGTTTAAAAACATAAAAAAATGTTTCTTTTTTAAATCAATGTTTTCAAAAAAAATTAAAACATCTTTTTTCTTAGGACAAGTATCAAATTTGTTTCTTTTCCTCAATTTCTTTTATCTTTTCTAAATATAATTTTTTGAGTTGATAGAAATGAAAAGAAACAAATTAGTTGAAAAAAACAAAGATGCTAGTTGAAAATCAAACGACAAAAGAAGAGTATTTTTAAAGGAAAAATACTCAAATAGAAGAAAAAGTTAGAGAAAATACTAAAATAGAAGAAATTTTTTATTCCCAAATTAAGAATATAATTACAATATAAAAACAATGTGAAATAATAATATATAGTATCAATTTATCACAATGCAAATTCTTATTTTGGAATAAAAACATGAAACTCCAGTGGTCATTTCTATTTCTTAATTTTTATATGTTTTTCTTCTATTTTGGGTGCTTTCTTTATTTTTAAACATTAATAAAACAATTTACAGAAGAGTACAAAAACATAATAATTTAGTAACAAAAAAAGAGTGATACAGAGTGTTTTTACAAAAACATAATAATTTAGTAACATTATTAACTTTTTTGTATGTTTACCAGTTGTAATTCGATACAATTCATAAGATTGGCATTTTTAAGAATGTGTGGCCTTTCATGGAATCAGTAGGTCCCTTGCTTTATTCTTACGTGATGTGCAACAAAAGTTTAGGGTTTAGAAAAACAAAAAAAAAAACATTAAAGGTACAAGTTGAAATTTAAAAATGACTAAGGGCGGCGAAGAGCATAAACCAAAGAGAAATGTCTACTATTTAAGTCTTACATAAAGAGAGCCAAATCAAGGCTGCATATGATAGGATTTTTGGTTAGTTTTTTCACTCAGACAATTATAATCTTAGAATTATTAGGTAAATGCTAGTGCTAAATATTATGTGATATTGTGAGACATATAACCATATTGGGCAACTAATTTAAAAAAATGATGGCTAGATGTGAGAAGTCTAGTCGACAACAAATTTGAATTGCATAATCATGAAAGACTACGTATATGTAACTTTCAACATACCCCAACACCCACTCCTAATTATACGTAACATTTGTTACACTTGGCAAAACTTTTAAACATAAATCAAAATCATTAGAACAAAGTTTTTTCCTTATTCTTTCAAAAAAAAGTTTTTTTCCTTATTTTCCTATACATTAGAAAATTATTAAATTCTTTTACCTACATTTAGGAATAATTTTAGGTAAGTGATTGTGCATGTTTCATGAAGCTCAATTACTCTTTCCTAATTTCCTTGATATTTGTTTTGCATCATTGGTAAAAAAATTAAATATTTAGAGAATTTTTTGCTTCTTGTTTTTGTTTATTAATGTTGCCTACACACATTATATATGTTTGGAGAATTTACTTTGATAGTATTAGAATGTATATTTTCTATGTAGTATCATATTTTTTGGAAGATTCTTTAGAACTAGAAGTAGATAGAGAGTAAAACTAAAGAAAAAATCTTTGATGTATAAGGGATAACTTGGCCCCTACAGAAGACCATTTAGCACGTAAGTCATGTATATAAAAATTTCTTTAGCCAGGTTTGGATTGACTAGGCACATTGGGTCATCCAAGCATTAGGCTACATGATTAAAGAATTTGTCCAAGGCTTCAGGACCTCTAATATGCTTATCTGCCTACATTCTTTCTTATGAGCCTTTATTCTTGATCTTCAATCTATTATTTTGTTGGTTGAATATCACATTCTTAGTGTATCTTTAAAGAGTCTTTTACTATTCAAAAAGATCTGAGTGACATCTAATGAAATTTAGCTTAGTCGAAATGATGTCCTTTCGCCAAGAGGAATAATATGAAGAGTGTTGGGGAATTAAACACACAACACACACATATGATCGACGAGAATCAAGAGAGAACGGAACACAAATGACACAAGAATTTAATGTGATTTGATTTCCATACTCCACAGCTGTAACATGAGAATTTTCTATTTCACTTGTGGTATCGATTACAAGTACAAGTATGCAATGTATAAGAAGAGCGCATCTAGGATTTCATATTTTCATTAAGCCCAAGCCTTCACAAACCCAACGTTCTTCCACTTAGAGGCTTGATATTTATCGACTTTCTTCCGCCACGATTGCTTATACATTGAGTATAAATCTACCTCGTTGAAGCAGCCCTCTCATCGAATAACTCAAGGCCTGTTGAAGCTCTCCCAAGCTCCATCACATTAGTCATGGCTAAATATACCACTGACTCGTCCTTGGTCCCTACCGAGATCCACTGCAGACGCACATTGTCGGATCCTAGAACATCCTGAGAATAAATACTCTCCATACTCAGCAAGAAATTTTCTGGATATGTTCCAAGAGCTGGAATACTTGTTCTTCTGACCAACTCTCTTCTAGGATACTTGGTTGAAGCGCCTCTTGAGCTCCCATAACCACACATGCTTTCTAAAACTTTTCCTCGCTCGTTCATCTTGAGTCTCACCTGTGGCTCTAGGTTTCCCTCTTGCATAGACAACCTTATTCTGCCCACCAAACTCTATGAATCGGACTTCGTTTCTCTTCTGAACTGGGACAATCACTCCCTCAGATGGTAACTTGACCATATACAGTGAATCCCTCTTCCTTCCATGGGCCATGACAAGATTTCTCCTCATGACCTTCCACTGCCCATTTTTAAACTTCACCTCGTGTTCTTGTTTGTCTTACTGCTTGACAGAAATCAAATTTTTCTTCAAGGCTATAACCACTTTGACATTCTTTAAAGTCTAGAATTCGATTGGGTCTTTAACACCATGTCACCCATGCCCGTCACATCAAGATCTCTATTGTTTGCAAGTCGTATCTTTTTAAAGTCTCCACTAACTAGAAATGAAGCACCAAAATCTATGACCGTTGTGGGTGGCATGAAATGAAGCACTAGAATCCATGACCCAAGAATGTTCACTTTCTTATCATTCGGATATTGATTTCTAAAATGCCCCACCACCTTGCATTTCCAACACGTTACCCTGAGCTATCCTTAATCTTCGACTCACTTTTTTATCCATTCTTGCTCTCACTATCTCTGATGTTTCTTCTGCCTCTACCAACATGAACCAATTCATTAGATGACTCTCTTGAACTCTTTCTTCTAATACTCTCGCCAAAAACAAGATCTCAAATTTGATCAAAAGTGAATCCATCGGTTCCCACAAGACTAAGAATTGCTGTAATTGTTTCAGACCAACTATCAAGTAAAGATGATAAAAGTAGTAAATCTTGAACATAATTATCGAACTTAATTTTTATAGACGCAAGTTTGGTTTAGGG